CTTCCTGCCACATTCCAGCACCGAGAGCAGCCCTGGGCCTATCACAGTGCTCAGAACACTGTCGGTGAATGAATGGGTGGAGTGCAAAGAGAGAGATACTTCCAAAGTATCATGTGAGTAAAGAGGAGGTGGAACTTTGGGGTGTGGGCATCAGGTAAGATTTCTTGCCAGAGATCATGCCTGAGCTGAGCCTTAAAAGATAAAGAAGAGTGAACAAGACAGGGGATGGCTGAGGTTAGGGAGCAGAAGGGACTGTATGTCTTACGGCTGACAAAAAAAAACAGGCACTCGATAAATATCTACTAAATGAAGAAATGGATGAAAGGGAGAGAAAGTTCTAGGCAGAGAGAACAACATGAGCCATGGCAAGGGGTGTGAAGGCAGGAGAAGCAGTTTGATCACGGAGCAGAGAAAGGTGTGAGGTGGAGCCCAGCACGGAGGGCGGGTCTCATAGTCCAGGCCAAGGCCTTTGGACTTGATCTTGAAGGCCATGAGGAGCCACTGATGGAGTCAGAACCAGGATAACCTGGTCCAGATGAGCACTAATCATTCTCAGGAGGATGGATTTAGTGCCAGAGCTGGGATTAGAGCTCAGGAGAGTTTAATTCTCTGACTTGCTTCTAGTCTCCTGAAACCACCCTCTCCTGCAGAGAAGTCGGTTAGCAGCAGAAAGGAGCAGGGCCTACACACAGGCCATGTCCTCCCACACCCCTTCCAGTGGGGCTAGTGTGCAGAGCACAAAGCAGACTGAAGGGTTGGAGCTGTACTGCCCTGAAAAGCAAGCAGACCTGGAGAGCACCAGAGTTCGCAGGGGGGAAGAGAACCTTCCCGAAGAGACGGTTCCTGGACTCACCCTCCAGCATGCTGAGGTTGGCATTCAGTGCTTCCACTTCACCTGTGATAATGGGACAGAGCTGGCCGTAAGGGGAATTAGAAGAAAAAAAAAAAGCAGTTATTATATTACAGTGGAAACCTCTATCTACGGGCCTCGGCCCTGCAAACGAAGGCCTACTGGTTAGGGGACATTCTCCCTTTGGTCATCATGACTTTCTCTTAAATAAGTTGATGCCTATGGGCCTCAAGTTATGTACGTATGGGTGGCGTGTCATTGAATGCTGACTACACTTCAGAGCAACTGGGACTACACCCAGTGAGCCCCATAAATGAGGCGAGACAGGACATGTGCCCCGGCGCATGCGAGGGCTGTCACACCTGAAGAACCTGCTGCCAGGAGGGCTGCGCCTTTCCTCTCCTCTGTCGGCAGCGACACGCCGCCGGGAGTAGTTAGAGCTGGGGCCTTTCCTTCCCCGTTGGGCTGGTTTGAGAGCCCATTACATCAGACATTTATTTACATCAGAACCCCTTTTGGAATTGGGAAATCTATCTTGAACCAGACTTGAGCACATCTTTAGGAAGATGGGAGAGCACCGGCGTCAACGGGCCTACTGTGTGCCAGGCACGCGCTAAGCGCTCAGTGTGGTGGTTACTAGCTCGGGAGCCTGGCTGCCTGGGTTGCATCTGTTGACAAGTTACCTGTACTCTCTGTCCTCGGTTTTCTCATCTGCAAAATGGGGATGATAATTGTATCTACCTCATGAGGTTGTGGTGAGTAGACATTGAGGTAATTCATGTAAAATTGCCCAGCTCATCATAAGCATTCAGTATATGTTAGCTGTTTTTGTTTTAACTCCATTTCTTCTTTACTACAGCTCTGGGAGGTAGGCACCACTATGCCCTTTTTACGGACGGGAAAGTGAGTTGCCAGGAGTTACACCATCGGGATCTGAAATCTCGTCTGACACAGCTAGACAGCTGTGGTCTGGACATCCTTTTTATTTTCTAGTGGTGCGGAGGGAATCCTAGAGGCACAGCGCCTATGATTTCTAAGTCACATATAATCTCTGGGCAAACTTAAATGTTGGTTCCCTGTCAGAGGCTGAAGAACCACGCCTCTTTTTGAATAAAGGGATGATCAAGTGTGAGGTCCTTAAAGGCGGCAGCACTATTTCCCAGTCACTCTTTAATATGAACATCACCGGCACTCAGTACCTGTCAGGTAAGGATGGAGAAGGACCGGGAAGCCTCAGAGTCCCTTGACCAGCCGGGCCGCCTCACTGGTCAAGCTGCTTAGTGTTTTAGCGTGTTGATTTCCTACTGCCTGCCAAGCACTGAGCTGAGCACGAGGGAGATGGAGACGGCCAGACACCGTCCTTGCCCCTTTTCCGGAAAGGAGTCTCCCTTCTTTTCCAGTTCCTTTTATCCCTCTCCTTGTCTCTACATAAAATATGGGTAAAGGGTTCAGGGAAGGTATGGTCAGGTTTGGGAAAAGGGCACATAGCCAATTCCATCTTCCTGATTTCCGAAACATTGACTTCTGGAATCTAGCTACTTGTAGCTTTGGAAACCATCTTCATTTATGCTGTTTCTATCGGCTAGAAATATCCTTTCTTCTGTCCCATTTCGTATCTATCCAAATCCTACCTATACTTCAAGGCTCAGTTCAAGTCCCGCATCCTCCCAGGATACTTCTAGGGTTTGTTTATTTAATTTTTCCATTTCTCTGAACCCCTTCAATTCAATCTAACGATCATGTAAATATATACTAAATTCAAGTACTCATTCAGTTATCGTTTCACAAGCCTGAGTTTGATTTTCCTAAAAAGATGGTAAATTTATTACTTATGCATGTATCCAACAGACCCTAACCTAGTGCTGGACACACTGTAGGTACACAATAAATAAATTCTTGTTGACCGTCTACCCTGTGGCAAGAACTGAGGGAGGGAAAGCTGTAGGATGATGTGTGCGAAAGCTCCTTGGGTGATGCCTAACTCACAGTAGGTGTTCAATAAAGGCTTCCTGGCTAAGAATTAATTAGAGCATGGGAGAACTCCTGCTGATGGCGTTTTACTGTAGCTGTGTAACCTCTAAAGACTTACCATTTCATTTAAGTTCTTTAAAATGGGTTTCTCCATAGGCTCAGCAAAGGAGTTATACAGGACACTAGGGGGGAAAAAAAGGACACACTCAGGCACCACACCTGCCGGTTATAAACCTCATGAGGGCACTGCCAGAGAACATAGCCCCCAACTAGCCACGGCCCAGCACAATGCTCCCGCTCACCTCAGTTCTCCAGAAAAAGAGACGTGGGCATGGCTCACTTGGGCGTAGCAGTCTTGCAGCTTCAGAATTGGGTGACCAAAGTCATTTCGGGCCAGGATAAGGATACCCGTGAAGTAGACCCCGGAGAGAAACAGATCAGCTCCTCCTGTGTCTTGGCTGTTGAGAAAAAAAACATACAGAGTTACCCAGGCCTTGGCAGGGGTGGAAAGGGTTTGGTTCTCTGATTAGCCACAGACTCTGAGCTCCTAGAAGGCAGAAACTTTGTCACTTCTGGACTCCTGGAAGGCTCCAGGAGCCTACAACAGGTAGGAGCAGGGTAGGTGCTGAATGAATATTTATTGAACAAATGAAGTAATGAATATGTGAATGGTGACAGCTTTGGGGACCTTGCAGTTACTTCATCCTGAGTGCTCTGGCCCCTGTAGTGGCTGAGCATGTACTGAGCATCATTCATATACAGTGCATATTTGGAATGAGAACATAGCGGGTAAAGTTGGCCACACACGTAGATGTAGCCTATGAACTCCTTGAGGGAATGGAGTGTGTGTTATGCACGTCCATGTCCCCATGATTTAGCTTGTGGCCTGATACAAAATAAGCACTCAATATATGGCTGACAAGTCAGTGGAGACATGAATGGATACATGGGTCTCTGCTACTTATAGGAGAATATGTCATTTCTCTCCAGTCTACAAGAGTTCTTGGAGTTCTTGAGATGGGGATAAATGGTAAACTGTAGGCACTCAATAAATGATTGTTGACTGGCCAAGTGGATTAATAAATGTGTTTTTCTGGGGCACTAACCAAGGCAGACCTAAACATTACACCCAAGACAGTGACTTGCACATAGTGGGTGGTTTGCAATCATGCCTTGAATTTGACCCCTCCTTTCTAAAGGAGGGTGCAAAGGCCTTTTGGTAGAGAAGAATTGGGTTCAAGCTATTATCCCTTCAACTTCCTTGGGAGGCAGGAAGGCTTCGTTTCCCACCAGGTGCCCCCACAGATGGGGAAGTGTGTTCAATGACTGGCCAAGGTCGTACAGTGACTCACTGGGGGGTCTCAAATGTTGAACACATGTCCATTTCTCCAACAGTCAGGGACTTCAAGCTCTTAGGAAATCGTAAAGGACATTTTGATCAGTTTTCAGTGCCCCCGGCCACTGGCAGAGACATTGTGATTTAAATATTTCCTGGGAAAATGCTCTTGAGAAAGATCGTTAATGATTAAGGAAAGGAGCCTAACATCAAAAACATCAGCGAATTTATACACTTTGGATTTGCAGGCTGTTTCCCCCGAACAGCCGCAGACTTCAGTGGAATACTCACAAAAGTGGGGACTTGACTGCCCAGTGTGTGCTGACGTTGGCTGTGCCGTGGTTGGTCAGTGCCTTGATCCCTACCCCGGGCACAAAAGCTAACGAAGTATTTGGAAACGAAAAGGCATGGATTTTTATGCTGTAAAACAAGAAATAGGGGGATTAGTGCAACTCCTCTCTAACACACCTCTAAGTAAGGCAAAACCGGAAATGAAGTTTTAGAAGGCCAGCCTGGCAATTGTGAATTCCTACGGAGCAAGGCACCTCAGGTCTGCAGGGCTGCCTCTGGGCGCTGCCTTCTAATTCCCCTCCTTTCCTTGGCAGGAGGTCCCTAGTATGTCATTGAGGGGCAGAAATGAGCAAGTTTAGAAACAAATTTGCAAATAATCAATCTACCTCTTTAGTTTCTTTAAAGACAAAAGAAGTACATTTGCCATCATTATCATTTCCTTCAGCTGTTTCAGTGTTTCTAAATGGGGAGACATTAGTATTAGTATTTTGAATGGGACACTATTTTTTGTAGAGGACTGTTAACACATATTACAAGATATTTGGCATATGTGTCAACAAAAAGCCAGTAGTGCCCCTCTCCCCAAATAAAAAGGGTGTCTTCTTCCTCTCCCCAAATGCCCTTTATGTGAAAAGTATCTTCCTTAGTTGAGAAACTTATTTTATTTAGAGCGTTAACTTCCCCTAGAATTCTCTGAGATGTCAAATAGGTAACTAGGAGTCAGCGGGTTACATGTAATCTACATAGGTATATGGCCACATGCATTATGACAAGTTATTATCATGAACATTGACTGAGTGAGATTACTCGCTGTCAGGCACTGTGTAAGCACTTGACATATATTAGCTCATTTTAACTCTCCCGATAATCCTAGGAGGCAGTTGTTGTTTTTGCCCACTGCAATTCAGAGATGAGAAGGCAAGAAACTTGGCTGAAGTCATTTTTAAGTAGTAGAACCAGATCTGTCTTCAGACTGGTCTGAACCATTAGGCTGTGCCACTTCATTATTGTGCAAAGGACACTCGACCTGGAGCCAAGTTTTGTGCTAGCTGTACAACCTTGGGTAAGACACTTAACCTTTTTCAGTTTATCACTCAGAGGAAGTGTTACTCATGGGTAGGTTGGGAAAACAGAATGGGATCATCTGCATGTAATTGTTGTATAGGAGAAAGGCATCGAACTAAGATTAGGAAAACATAAATGTGACAGCTAATAAAAAATAATTATTTGCTATCTCCTCTTGCATCCTTTCTTATTTGTTCTCTGTCATACATCCTAAGTCCCACTGAGGGAAGAGGATATCTTGGATATGTTTTCATGATACATATAGGTCTAACCCATTCTTTGTAACTGCCATAGAGTATTTCAAGCTGTGGGTGTACTATTAAAAAAAATAATAATTCCTTTGTTGGTATTCCCCAACAAAGATTGTTTCTAGTGTTTCTGTATTATAAACAATGCCACAGCCACAGTGAATATCTTCATACATGCAGTTTATGGACATGTTTCTCGAGGGAGGATGCTGAGAAGTGGGATTGTTGGGTCAAAGGGCATGCATGCATAATTAAAAAAAGATCCTTGTAAATCATTTCCTAAAGTAGCACTGTCTTATAGAAATATGATGTGAGTCACTTATATAATCTAAAATTTTCTAATAATCACAGTAAAAAAAGGAAAAGAAATAGGTGAGAGTAATTTTACTATTTTTAACTTCATCCAATATAGCTAAAATATTACCATTTCAACATATAAGCAATATTACCATTTCAACATATAATCAATATAAAAATTATTAATGAAATATTCTATTTTCCTTTTTCCAAAATAAGTCTTCAAAATATGGTATGTAATTTACAATCATGATTTATTAGCAAGTATTACTAATTAGCATGTATTACTAATACATGTAAAGTGCTTACCACATGATTCAATCACTCAATTTTCACCAGAAATACTTGACCAGTATTTAGATTTGATAAAATTTTCAGTTGAAAAAGTAAACTTACATACTTGAATTGTTCCAAGCATACTTAAAAGTTTTTCAATAACTGAAATATCAGTTTCCAAATTAAAATTTAATTTAAAATTAAGTCATATTTCAAATGCTCAACAGCCACATGTAGCTAGCAGCTACTGTTTGTGCAGAACAGAGCATGTGCCAAGAACTTTCTCTAGATCACTAGCCCCCCAACCTCCGCAAAAAAACTCTCGGTTTTATAGAATGTTATCCTTGACAATGGAGAAATTGTTACTCCAAAGGGATAGAGTAGCAAGGAATTCTCACTGGATCTATAGCGCACTGGGACAAACTGTAAATCACAGAGAATTCATTATAAAAGCTTGACTCTCCACTAGTCTTTAGGACTGAGCTCAGGATGGACATAGATATTCTCTCCTTACACTTCCTCTGGGGCTCTTGTTGGCAGAGGTTGCCACTTGCTGTCTGACCATCTATTTCCCTTCTTTCTCAGCAATTGTTTGAGATGACAAAGTTGTCTGGTTGGAAAAGAATTTCCCAGTATCCTTTGCTAATAAATGTGGCCTTATGACTAAGTTCTGCCCATTACTTTATAGGCAGAATATTATTTGAGTAGCACTTCAGGAAACATAAAAAAAACTCACTGATGAGGAGACTAACACAGCTTATAAGAGCCCTTTTACCCTTGCTTCTTCTTCCTTCCAGGGGCCTGAAACATGATTTTGATGGCCGAGCTATAGTGGCCATATTGGACCTTGAGACAACCTTGAGAATAGATGCCAGAGCTAAGGATGGTGGTACAGAAAAATAGAAGACTGGGTGCTGGAATCATGGGGCTTCCATAGAATCCCCCACTGTTTCCGTTGAGCTTCTTATTTGTGAGATAAAAATGAATCCCTATTACATACAAGCCACTGTGATTTTCTGCTATGTTCAACTGAACATTATTCCTAATTAATACAGTCTCAGAAACTCTGGGCTGGGTGAAACAAGGATCTGAATCAATGTGGCAATTCCATTGTTTTGACAATAATGTCTTTATGGCATCATTATGGATACCAGCTAACATCAGTACAGCAGTTTTAGTTTCATAAAGTATCTTTGCATTTGTTACATCACCTGACTTTTACTATTTACTGATTTTGATTTCATGACTGTAACATGGTAGAAAAGATTATAGCTGCCACCAGAATTCTTCTTAGGAAGAGATGTTTGTTGGTTGGAAAATTACTTTGAAAAACATTTAGAGCGTAAAGGAAGACTCTTTGGTACCCTGGAGTGGGTGGAACTGCTTTGCGTGAGACCAGGGAAAGAAACTTCTGCTACTCCAGAGGAGGGAAGGTCTAGAGAGCAAGAGGGCAGAAGCCCATGTGCCCGGTGACCTCGGAAATCTTGACGAAACTTTAGCGAAATAAGAGAAGGCTTGATGAAAGGAGATTCATTTTTGAGACTGTGGTCAAATTCTGCATCTAGGTTTATAGGGGTGAGGGTAGCACTGGAATGAAGAAGAATTTCCTTTAGAATTCAAGAGACAGAGTGGCCCCAGTGGACAACTGTGTGGAATTAGAATTCTTTCTTTAGGAAAGAGGCAAGGGCACAAGGGCACTGAGACTCTGAGCAGATTCGCCAGGTGCACACAACTGGTGTGCAGCAGAGATACGACCTGGACCCAGGTGTTCTGGCTCAAATGCCACACTCATTGTCAACGTCATGACCTCTTTGGCTATTTATCTGATAAGCCTCTCACCAAAGGTTGGTTAACTTCTACTCTGCAGGTCCTGATGTTACTCCAGAACAGGCAGTGGCATAGTCACAATCTTGAAAGTTTAAAGATTAATTTCATGGCTAACAATGTCCTTCCTTTTACTTACTTTGAAAAATTGTAGTTCACATAATCAATCTTCAGAAATTCAAGAGATTCAGAACCTTTTAAATCTGGGATGTTTCTTTCCTTGGCCATTTGCTCAATCATCTCTATCCCAGCTTGAACGCCTGTGAAGGAACCAAAGAAAGTGTTTATTGATAATAACAAAGATGGTAGTGGAGTAATATTAAATATACCAGTGAAATTTATTGAGTAAGGCATGGTCTTAGATACTTAGAAAACAGCAATCCTACAAAGTGAGTATTATTTGTCCCTGCTTTACAGATGAAAACATTGGTCCTTAGAGGGGCTAATGAAATTGTTCAGTACCCCAGAGCTAACAGCATTAGAGATTTTCATTATGTGGCCAGGGACAAAGCATATTATCACATAGGACAGTGTGATAGGAAAAGTGCAAAATATTATCACTATCGACATTTTACAGATGAGGAAACTGAGACTCAAACAGGTGGATCCTCACCTAAGTCACTTAGCAAAGAACTGAGGAATTCAATAGTAGAATCTGGGCAGTTTGGCTCTAGAATCCATGTCTTATTATAGCCAGTTCCAGAAAGTAATTCCACATTCGCCTTCCTGTCCCCACCCTCAGATTCTTTAAGCCTAGGAATTTTTGGCCTGGGATCCATGGAACTTTGGGAACTCTTGAACCCTCTGAAATTCTAATAAAAGATTGTGAGTGGGTTGTACCTGATTTTTCAGGGGAGAGGCTCTACATTTTCATCAGATTCTCAAAGGATCCTACGACTCCAAAAAGGTTAGAAACCACTGCTGTTTATTAAGGAATAGACCTGTCTTGATCTGGTAGAAGCACAGAACACATTAGTCTCTGAGTTCAGGGAGAAGAAGAGCCCCTTGCCACATGAAAGGGCCTGAGAAAAGTTACTTACATAGTAACGAAGAGTGATCTTTTCATTTTAACCTCCTCAAGGAGGAGACTTTGCCTTTACCCCTCCCTTTGCAGCTTAAGCTCATTTCCATTTATTCTACCCTTGTTCGAGATAAAGAAGAACAGATTTTATCCTTTATGATACCATGAGGAAAATTGCAACATGGGAATAGAAAGACAGAACATAAAGGATGTAGAGCTGGAACTGAAGGCACTACCCGAGGGCTAAGGCTGGAATTCTGACATTGTCACGTACTAGCTTGTGTGACCTTGCAAGTTGTAAAATCTCTTGGTCCCTCTTTTTATCTGTAACATGAGACATTAGTGAATGTCAACCTATATTCAGCTAATCTTAGGCCAAAATTTACAGGAGAAAAATGGGTCCATATACTTTGGTTTTTCACCTTTCTTCTACATAATCTGCCCTCACCCCAATATAGCCCAAAGAAAATCTCAGTCCGATATTTAGAGGTATTTATAAATACCTCTAAAGGGGTTGTTCTTAACCTTCCGGCATCTCAGACTCTTTTGTGCATCTAAGAAATGTAGGAAACCTCTCCGAAGAAAAACGCACAATCATCATCCCCGTTCAATTTTGCATACAATTTTAGGGGACTCTTAAGTTCCTTTTGAAATCAAGCCGCTTCTGAAACTCTAAGATATTGCTTTTACTTCAAATTCTTCTATCTTATAATGCATTCTCCCTTAGAGCTCCGAAATGTTTATTGTGTATGCATGTATGTGGGGTTCAGGGGTGGGGAGAGAGAGACAGAGAGAGAGACAGAGAGACGGAGAGACAGAGAGAGAGAGAGAGAGAGAGAGAGAGAGAGAGAGAGAGAATATGAATCTGTGGCTGTGTTTGGATATGCCTACCATCAAGGTGATTGTTTTTAGGCAATACTTTTTCCCAGCCATCTTATCAGCTTCTGCATAAAGGACTTGATCACCACTCAGTAGAGCTTGTCTACGAGTCATAATACAGCTCAGTATGAGCTTTGGGTTTGGCGCACAGACTCCATCTATAAAGGCTACAGCCTGACTTCTAAAAGTATCCAACTCACCATAGTCCAGAGCCCGTTGAGTAGCCCTCGCCTTGATTCCAGGGTAAATGGTATGAGCAGATGAGAAGTAGAAATTCCACAGGAGGAAATATCCCCAGAGAACTTGGACCATCTTCGTATGCATCTGCAATTAACCAACATTTATTGTCCCTGATTATTCTTGACTATTTCATTGGTCAATTCTATCCAGCATTTCTAGGCTTTCTCATTTTCACTGCTGACTTCTAGAACTTACTCACTCCGTTCATCCATCCTTCCTTCCTTCCAACCATCCTTCCTTCCTTCCAACCTTCCTTCCTTCCTTCCAACCATCCTAATTTCTTTTTCCTCTTCCATCCTTTCCTTCCTTCCTTCCTTCCTTCCTTCCTTCCTTCCTTACTTCCTTCCTTCCTTCCTTCCTTCCTTCCTTCCTTCTTTCTACTTATTGAACACACCAGAGCATGTTCTAGGTGCTGAGGATGTAGAGATAACCTATGTGTGGGCCCTGACCTCTGCTTCCCACAGACTAGTGGGTGATTCACATACACACAGATGATTATAACACAATACAGTGTGATGCAACACAATATAATACGAGACCCTTACAGTAAATGTAACGATTGGGATATGCCTTGGAAAGGATACTGGGATGGGGGTGAAAAATTCTTGATAGTTTTAGCACAAATAAGGCAGTAGTAGTTTAGAAAGGTGGCCTCAGTGGATGCAAGGTAATCACCCTCATGCAAAAAGATGCTCCATGGCTCCCTTTTGCCCACAGGACAGGGTTTAAGCTCTTAGCATGGCAATCAAAGCCTTTCACAACTGGCTCCAAACTTCCAAGCTCCTAGCCTTCCTGTCCTTTACAGGTGGAAGTGTTCTGAGCAGCTGCACTGAGCTCAATTTGCTAGCTCTCTCACGAATGAGAGCTTTTTTGTTTAACCCTCCAATGTAAACACGCATATACGTACACATTCTCTGTCTGTCTCTTTCTTCCTTCTTCCCCCATTCCTTCCCTCTGCCTCTAGATCACATACCCACATTCTGTCTGGTGACTGCATCCTCCAGCTCCGATGTTCACTGAAAGCATCCCTCCCCATGTCATTTTGCACTGGGCTCATCTCTCTCCTCTGTGTGTCTGCTGCACTTTGTACAACACATAAGCATCCATCTGAGCATTTGAAACGCGTCGAACTTTCTGGCGGGCTCACCACTTCCACCACTATGTCTCCAACCATCACACCGCACCGGTACCATTCATGCGGATGTTTGCAATCACCTCCCTACTCGTCTCTCTGCTTCCCTTGCCTCTTTCTAACTATTCCCCACACCAAGCCAGTGTAAGACTTTTAAAACGAAAGTCAGATCTTGCCATCCCCCACCCTGTAAAGCCTTCCAGTGGTTCCCCGTCTTACTCGGCATAAAAGCCAAAGCCCTTCCACCAGCTGCAAGGCCCTGCCCTGCCCCAGACCTCTGCCTCCTCATTGATCTCCTTTCTTAACACACCTACCTAGCTCACCTGTTCCCAGCCTCACTGGCTGACTTGATTAAGCAGCCTGTATCACCGGGTCTTTGCACCTGTTGTTCCCTCTGCCTGACACAATCATCCTCCAGATAATCACATGGTTAGGACTTTCACTTTCTTCAGTGATCTCAAATGTCACCTTAGTGAAGCCTTTCCTAACCATTCTATACCAAACAAGGACCCCTTATCCCATTATCCTGATATTCCCTATGCCTTCCCTTGCTTTATTTTTCTCCAAGATACTTGTTATCATGTTAATAGGCTATCGTTACTTATTTATTGTCTGTCTCTCCTACTGGGATTTTTAGGCTTCATGGGGAAGGATTTCATTACTTCAGCACCTTGAATAGCAACTGGCACACAGTAGGCAATGGGTAAATACTGATTGATTGAATGAATGAATGAATGAATGAATGAACATCTCTTCCTTGAGACTATGAAGTAGGCCAGGTTTGCCTTTTGAGTTCCCACAGCACTCAGGGCAGTCCTTGATCTAAATATTTACCATCCTGGATTGTGATTGTCTTTCCTTATCTGTTTCTTCATCACAGGCACTGTGTCTTACTTTTATATTTCTAAAGTCTAGTATAATGCCTGGCACATAGTAGATACACAAAAAATCTTAATTACATGAAACAAAACCTTTTCCAAGGAGAGGTGCCACATCTTCTTCACTGTTATATTGCTAGCGTTCAGCATATATTAAGTGTTAAATATATACTTGTTGAATTAATGGACTCGATGAATTAATGCCACCCCATTTTCTTGATGAATGAAGCACGGGTACCAACAGCAACAGTGACACGAGTTTCTTTTAATGACAGCTCAGTGAATAATACATTCACAGATCTTATTTATAGTTCTGGGAGTTTACAGTCTGGGTAAGCTGTCATTGCTGCATTCGTACATGCCAAAGACCCATAGGTGATAGATACCCACTGAGTTAACACACAAACGTGAAACAAATCAGAGAAGCATTTGTGGGGGTGGTCAAGGAAGAGGAAATGGTGGGAGCAGAAGGAGGGGTGGGGGAGGGAAGGCTTCAGATAGGGGCTAGTGTTCAAGAGCAATCTGGATGGAAGAAAAAAAGTCATTGTAAGGGAGGGTGTGGGGTGCTTGGTTAAAAGAAGCAACAAGTTTAATAAAGGGAGTTGCGTGGGCTTACGGGTAAGGCCATAGAGGTGGGAATGGGGTGACGCAGACAAAGGGGTGTCCCAGAGGATTTATTTAAAAGGAATAGAGCAGCCTGACCAGGAAAAGAAGTGTTTGAGCAGGGCTGTTGTGTTCTCCCTTGGGCTTTTGTGTGAAATGGGAAAAGGTGGTCCCGGTATGAAGTTAAAGCCAGCGGAAAGTGTTTTAGGAGAAGCTCACACCAGTGGATCCAGCTCGGTGGGAAAAGCAAGGGCTGCCCCATTCACCCCTGGGCTGGCATTTTGTCTAGTACACGAACTTCCCGGCTCATACAGCGGACCTAAGCTCAGATTAGTGAATGCTCATGTGGATGTTTTGCTGGAGGGCCGTGAGGTTGAGAACGAGGGTCTCCACCTGTCTACTCTGTACTGCATAAGTCCACCTTCAGGTGTGAGTAGAGGCTGGCTCAGTCATCCTGCTTACATTTCTCCTCTGATCTCCCAGGAGCCCTCTCTGCATACCCCACTGCCCAGACAAACAAACTCCTGGCTCCTAGACACATGCCATGTTTCCTGCCCACTGCCTGTGCTTACGCCATTCCCCTTCACCTAGACCTGCAGAAATACTGCATCTTTAAGGTCCATTTAAACACCGTCTTCTTTCTGAAGCCATTTCTGACATCTGTAAGCTAATCTCATTTCTTTCTGAACCCTCAGTCAAAATATATATTTATTCATGTGTATACGTTTATTTTCTTGCTTATTGTCTGTCCCTCCTCCCAGAATTTAAGCACTAGGAGGGCACAGACCTCACTGAATTTGGCGGTCCTAGAGTTTGGTTCAGTGTCTTGGACACAGTGAGTGATTGATAAGTGTTGGTAGAATGAATCAATGAATCACAAATGTAGGAATAGCTCTTACCTCACTTTGGCTATTTGCAGAGGTGATTAAAAAAGCATCTAAACACTAGGAGAGCACACACGCCTCTCAGAACAGTTGTTGGCCATAGTCCTGGAGCAAAGTCAGGGAGGTTACGTACTGGATCGTGGGGAGGACAGAAGTCTAGGAGGAGTGGCCAGTGTGGCTGGAGTACCGGGAGTGGGGTGAAGGCTCAGGGTAGTGACTATTCACTATGAATATTTAGGTATTTTCATATTTCAACACTGCTATGGCCCTATGCATTCAGTGTGATGTTTCAGTCCTATGGAGTTGGTTTGAGTTACACAGGGCAATATCCAGAAAGAACCTGGGCAGCGGTGATGGGGGTGGGGCTATGGAGGGGTGACTTGAGGATGCTCAGGGTGCAGAGGACACTAGGAGAAGCACAGAGGAATGGGAGCGAGAGCCAAGGCAAAGGGACTTGGCTAGGAGAGGAGGGTCTCCGGCCAAGCAATGAGTGATCTGAGGGTTGGAGGAAATTTGAGGAGTGAGATAAGCCAGTGTGAACTCTTCCGCATTCTGTGAGGCAGGGTGATATTAACAACACTGTATACTCAGAATGGATGCAGGAACTAGGTCCCGTTGAGATCTGTGCCAGGCCTTCCTTAATTGACCTGGGGGGTGGTCAAGGGGTCCTATACAGGGGGATAGCAGAGACTCTGGGAGAGAGGGCAACAGGTTGGTGGCTATTCACCAACTGGTAAAAAGGTATTTCCACATTTTAACAAATGATGAGGCCGTACTAATGTGTAGTCATGCTGTTATCTGAAGGCAAATAATTGTAAATGGATGTGTCATGCCAAGGCAGGATTTTTCAAAAGAGGAAAACATTTTCACAGCAGTGGAAAGCAACAGGAGAGAAGGGTAGAGCAAAAAATTTATACCTATTAGAGTGTGTGTATGCAAATTAAGGTAGAAATGATCTCTGCCTGGCACATAGTAGGACCTCAATAAATATTTGCTAACTGACCAACAGACTAGCTTACAAGATCCTGGTTAACTAAGAAAGGTTCTAGAACAAGGTTAAAAAATGAGAAAATCAAACTAGCATACAAATAGGTCTTCATTTCTACAGTGACAAAGCACTATAAACTAAAGCAGAGATATTACTTGCTCTTGGAATCACAACTAAAATAATAAGTTTGTATTTATTTACCATCTACAAAGTGCACGACGATTCTCTGAGGTAGACGTTACCTCCATTTTGGACACGTGGACACAGAGGCTCAGAGACTCTGAATGACCTGTTTGAGATCCCATAGTAGTAAGTTGGCATCTGGAAATCAAACCTCGTACTTCTGGCTCCTAATTCTAGTGTTTACAATTTTTTTTTTTCCATTTAATGACTTGATAAGTGCTAGAATTTTCATTTTCACTTGGGAATTTTAAATAGGAGTTGCTCGATGTTGTCTTCCATGTGGAAAAAAATTACTAAGCATCTGGAAATTTTCAAGCACCAAAGTGCAAATCCCTTTGTATTGTCTTGGGTATAAATGAAGTTGTGAATTCCTTCCCAGCAGCCAAAACCTGTTTTCTCTTCTTGGTTAAAGAAAG